TGCAGAGTTTTTCCCTGTTGAGATGTCCCCTCCTTTTCCTGTCCTGTGCAATTCTGGACAGGTTCCTTCTTTCCTAGCCCGGCCACGTGCTGAGAACAAAGTCACACAGACCTTTGCCCCCGTGCCCATTCCTTCTCACTCGTGTTCCTCAGGCAGCGACAAGGCCTTCACACTGACCGAAAGAACCCGAGCAACCATTCGGAGTTGGCAGACGGCTCAGGGTCTGACCACAACCAAGGAGCTACATTTGTTCAATCACCTCTTATTCTCAACCAGTCCTTTCGCCTGGAAGGACTGTACAAAAAAGGCGTAAAAGCATTCAGCCAGAAAGACATGTTCAGGAGCTGGTCAGGCTGTGTGAAGGCTGAGCTGTCTTCCCCAGATTCCTATGCTGAGCCCTGACCCCAGCACCTCGGAAATGAACTCAAAGATGTGATCAAGGTAAAATGGAGGCATTCAGGTGGGCCCTAATCCCATATGACAGGTGTCCCTATGAGAGGAGACAGAGGGGTGACCATGAGAAGATACAGCAAGAAGGTGGCCACCTGCAAGCCAAGGAGAGAGGCCTCAGGAGAAACCAACTCTGCCAGCAGCTTGATCTCGGCCTTCTGACCTCCTGAACTGTGAGGAACTAAATCTTTGTTGTGTAAGCCACCCGCTCTGTGGTAGTTAATGGCAGCCCTTGAAGATTAATTGAGGATGAAACTGAATTTTCAAAAATTTCAAAATGGGTCTACATAAACTCCTATTCTTTACCCAGAGTAGCCTAGAAAAGATCAATCCCTTTCTAAAGACAGCTATCCTATATAATAAAGATGTAATATGGAAATGGTTGTTACAGCATGAAGCTTAACAACCGGCATGAAGCATAACAACCGACCACATAACAGTAACAACCAGATCAAGGATCAGCAGGAGGCTGGGGCAGAGAGATACAAGTGGGTGGCGGAGAGCTACAGGAGGGGGCAGGGCAGCAAGCTATGAGGAGAGAGGGGGGAGGGATGGCAGGGGGAGCTACAGGAGGGCGGGGCAGCAGAGAGCTACAGGAGGGTGGCAGAAAGCTACTGGCAAGCTACTGGTACACGGATTCGTGCACAGGGCTATTAGTATATAAATAATCACCCTGTCTTCCTAAGGTGTCTGTGCCGGGGGAATAGGAAAGCAGAGTCAGGCTATCAACCCACTCTGGCAAGTTGCAGTAATCCAGAAAGCTGAACAATGCAATAATCCCAAAGGAGGCCAAAAGGCTGTTCTGTCAAAAGCAAACAGAGGGGTCACAGTTTCTGTAATGTGTTCTCTAACTGATGGCTTTTGGCCAGGATCACAAATTAGGATGCAATTAGCCATTGATCAAAGAGCTGATCAGCAGCTTGATTTTAGATGATCCCATCAGAGAGCAAGCCCTTTTTATGGCATGTGTATGTAACCCAAATGGCCCAGCCAGCATCTGCGACACACATTTCCTAATTTAGAGCTCCACAGAGGGGATCCTGAGTCTCCAGTGGCCCCAAGGCCTGAGTCCTGCTCAAGGCGCCTGTGTCTGCTTTCAGTCCAGCACAGCTCCCGCAGGGCTGAAAAGGCATGAGCAGCCAGTCTGCATTTTCAGTTTCTAGTCGGATGCTAACGATCAGAATCGGTGAATTTGGGATTCCGAATGAGCCAGCTGCTTTCCTTCAACAGCAGCAAAGGTGTGCTACAGTGCCAGAAAGTCCAAATCCAAGTGGCAAGCACAGCTTCCTTCTTATCCTATATAATGAAAGGCTAATATGCAATTCAGCCAAACAGTCACTATGACACGCACTGACCACGAGGGGGCAGACACTTAATGCAGGTGCTGCCTCCTGATGGTCAGTGTGCTCCCTCAGGGGGACCACCACTCAGCCAGAAGCTTCAATGAAGGGCCTTTTGGAGGATACTCCTGTGCTTGGAACTGCTTCTTTATGGACCTGTAGTACTATGACAGGGTCCTTGTCAAGGTCTAGGTAGAATTCTAGTTATGTACCTGTGTTATTGTCTAAATCCACACTAGCCATGAGCTCCTGAGATGGCAGTATCCAGCACATAGTTATTGGGGTGACACCTGCTCGCATTTAACTACTCAGACCACAGGTGTAGCTACAAGACAGCAGGACACAAGGCAAGGAGACTACCTTCTCAGAGGAGACACTAGGCTTCTTGCCTGTGGCAGACATCGTTAGGTGGTTCACGCCAAACCCCTTCTCCTGTCTGCCTGAAAAACAAAATACTCATTTTCTCAGCTTTCTGTACAGCCAGATGGCACATTCTGGGGCAATGAAAGGTGTAACTGGGAAGGATTCCAGCACAGTAACGGAAAGCATGGACTATAAGAGACAGAATGCCTAGGTTCACTGTTGCATGAGCTGCATACATTTGGGCACTGACTTAACCTCTGTTCCCAGAGAAAAGGTGCACCAACCTCATGGTGGCTGTAGAGATTAGATGAATTAATAAATGTAAAAGAACTCAGTAGAGTACCTGGTATGTGGTAAACACTCTGTGTTAGCAATTGCTATTTTAATCACCAGTGTGTGCCAATATGGAGCAACTTTTAAAGTAGATTGTTGATTCAAAGCAGTTAGGTGCAGAACAGCTCAGCTCATGTGTGATCACACTTGTATGATCATGGAGGGGCCGGTGTGTGCACATATACTAGTACACACCTGCTTGTGCATCTACAGGTTGTCTCTGCCAGGCGAGACCAGAACCTGCCCAGAGTGGTAGCCTCTGGGATACTGGAGTGAGAAGACCTACTTCATTACATGGCCCTTCTTTCCTAACTGGGCTGGACTTCTGGAATCATATACTTAAAGATTTTAAAATTATTTTTGTTTTAAGAGACTCAACCCCCTTCCCACTTTCTCTTAGTTTGCATTGTTCCCCAACAAAATGGGCAGTCAAGAAATTATGGCAATTATATTTCAACTAGAGGCCCAGCCTGTGAAATTGCATGAGACCCAGAGCAGCCCTGCATGAGCCCTGCCAGCTGAGTCCCAGCCCTCGCGAGGTGCTCCATGCATCTCCTGGTGAACAGTTGTTTGGTCGTTAAGCCATTACGGCATCACAACCATAGGCCTTTTATGATATATATAAAGCTGGAAAAAATTACAAAAGAAAATGGAAAGTTAGTTGCATAAAATGGTAAGCTATCCAAACACAGGTGGGATGGAAATCTGTTGGACATGTCCTGGAAGATTTCTCTAGTGAGCAACAGGCTGTATTCTGCCAAATCTAAGATGCACCTTTTTGTGGCACAAAGGGAGAAGGAAGCTGGAGGTGCAATTATCACAGGCGACTGGTACAAACAGGAAGCACAGAAGGTGTGCTCCTTGGGCAAGCTTGTCCCTTCTGAAGAGCCTGGGCTCTGGAACCAGATGGGCAGTGCTGTGGCTCCTGGGTCAGTCACTCCTTGTATTGGACCAAGTTACCTAATAGTCTCATCTATAAAGTAAGAACAGGGTTATAAAGTGCTCGAAGAATAGAGGTAGCCATTGCTGGAGAGCAAGAGTGATCACCTTCAAATGAGTTGTTTGCTTGTCAATCTTTTAATGTACAAACATAAAAAAAGACAAAGCAGAAAGCAGTTTTACATTGAATGAGTAAAGATAATTACATACAGCTGCCAACCCCACAGCTGGATACTGAATCACTACAACTCCTGCTAGATCTTAACTCCAAGGCTGAATGTCCCACCCTCCTCACAGAAGCAGAGCATTAAGCAAGGCCAACATCCCAGCCTTCACTTCTAATCCTCCTTCTAAACCAAGAGGTCAGAGCAGAACTAGGGAGTGTTGCACTATTACTCAGAAGACAATATGAATGGCACTGGCGACTTCCCTGACTGCTCGGGAGTCTGCCACAGAGTGACTTAAGAGGCCCCTGTGTATACAGGTATTTTGGTCTGAATTGTAAGGTTTACAGCAAATACAGGGTGGGTCAAATAGTTCTAGGCCAGGGAACAATTGTCACGAATGTCAGGTCTTCAGTGAAATAAGACATACTGCTGTCCCCAAATAACCTGAGGCAAGGAGAGGCTGCCTGACCAGTCCATCCACATGGGAGACTCAAACCTGGGACTTCACAAAATCAAATCTGGGTACTGAGGGTCCTCCTTCTAGTGAAAGCCAATGGCCCTGCCATAGAATACTCGAAAGTCTTTTCTTAGTCACTCTTGGTTAAAATGACAGTTCAGGCCCTAGCTGATAGCTCAGTGGATAGAGCATTGACCTGTGGACTGAAGGATCCTGGGTTCAATTCCAGTCAAGAGCACATGCCTGGTTGTGGGCTCGATTCCCCGTGGGGGCATGCAGGAGGCAGCCAATTAAAGATTGATGTTTCTATCTCTCTCTTCTTCTCCCTATTTGAAATCAATTTTAAAAAAATTTGAAATGACAGTTCAGGTTATTTGGAAAAGACATATTAACCACCCTTCATGTTTCAGTAGCCAACAGGAATCCGGGCCCTGAAAACCCACAAACACTTTTCTTCACAATTATGAGCAATTGCAGCAACTGGCCAAATGTGCTAGCAACAGGAAAGCTGAGAGCAAACCATGTGAGTGGGTGTCCTGGTGGGGAACTCATGGCCACAAGCAGCACACTGGCTTCATGCCTGCCATGCTGGACAGAGTGTCCTGCTCTGCAGCAGGTCTCAGCAGCAGCCAGCCATCCACAGGACCAAGAGTGGGAGTGCTACGAACAGACGATTCTGTGTCCCACAGATAACGGCATGAAGTGAGTGTTAATAGGTTCGGTTTAAGCAGAGCTTTTGGAGACAACGCCTCCAGATGGTCTATTATTAAAGTCTTAAGAGCTCAGAGCCGAGGATTGAGAAGTTCAGAAGAATTAAACAAAAAACCCAACAACAAATAAGAATGGGTAGAAAATGTCAAAGACTAAGAGCTCATTGTAGTGCTGACTGGCTCACTATGTCCCCAAGTTCATCTTAGAGCTCAAGTGAATTCTACTCGCGAGACAGAGACATTAGACCTGAGTCAAGGGCAAAAACTTCTGGTAGTAGCTCTTGGTGACATCGATCATCAGCTCCTGGGTACATTCGGGAAGCTCCCCCGAGAAGAGTCCTAGGGAAAGAAAGACCTGGTCAAGCATGGGGAGCCAGGGAGGCCTGCAGCGAAGTCCCGTTAAACCCCTAGAGAGCCTTTCTTTAGTCAAAATTCTAGGTTTTCCATCTTTGGTGCTAACAGAAAACTTCTACTGACCACCTTCTGGACGATAAGAATGCTTATGTGTGTGGAAATAAATAATCCTGCTCTCAAAATGGAGAAATCTATTCCAAGTAAAAGAGCTTAGCACATTATTGCATGATCTGAAGTTGAGGCATCTGTGACTACATCAGGGGTTGTTCTAGACACGGATAGGTCCATCCTTGAATTCTGGTGCGACACCTCCTGAGCCAGTCAGGGTGCGCACTCTCAAGCTAAGAAACCGCCCTGCTATTCCTACATGGGATGAATCCAACATGTACCAGACAAAGAATGGGTCAGAGGACAGAAATGTGCTATATACAGCGAGAGAAAAGATGGGCCTCAGATTGAAGGATATGCAGGAGAGAGGTATTCTCCTACACTAAGGCTGGAAGTGTAAACTCATATGGCCATTTTGAGTAATTAAGGAATAGCTAGCAAAACTTTTAGAAGTTCATACCCTGTGATCTGACAATCTCAACTTTAAGTATTTTTCCACAGATAATCTTGCCCAATTGCACAAGGTAAATAAAAGCATCAATACCAAAACCGGTTTGGCTCAGCCTGAGGACTAAAAGGTCCCAGGTTCAATTTCCGGTCAAGGGTATGTACCTTGGTTTCGGGCACATCTCCAGTGGGGGGGTGTGCAGGAGGCAACTGATCAATGTTTCTCTCTAATCGATGTTTCTAACTCTCTAACTCTCCCTTCCTCTCTGTAAAAAATCAATAAAATATATATTTTAAAAAATAAATAAATAAAATAAATAAATAAAAGCATCAATGCACAGTTTTAATCATAAAAACCCAGGTACTATACAACTTCTAATGACACCTTATTCAGGGCACAGACTAATTATGCTGTGGTACTTTTACGCATTCAAAGGAATGAGGTGTGCCCTGGACAGCGTGGCTCAGTTGGTTGGGAGCTGTCCTATGCACTGAAGGGTTGCTGGTTCAGTTTCCAGTCAGGGCACACGCCTGGGTTGTGGGCTCCATCCCCGGTGGGGACATGCGGAGGCAGCCTATGGATGTTTCCCTTTCTCCCTCTCCCTCTAAAAGTCAATTTAAAAAAATAAAAAAAAGGAATGAGGTGAATCTCTACATACTGACAAGAAAAAAATATCCAAAATGTACTGTTCAGGAAGCAACTTTCCACACAGAATAGAGTATGATTTTGTTTATATATACATAAACAGTTTCATATATTCATATTATATACCCATATACCTATACACTCATATATATACAAACACATACATATGCACTTTTTTAAAAAAATATATTTTATTGATTTTTTACAGAGAGGAAGGGAGAGAGATAGAGAGTTAGAAACATCGATGAGAGAGAGTCATCGATCAGCTGCCTCTTGCACACCCCCTACTGGGGATATGCCAGCAACCAAGGTACATGCCCTTGACCGGAATCGAACCCGGGACCTTTCAGTCCCCAAGCCGATGCTCTATCCATTGAGCCAAACCGGTTTCGGCTACATATGCACTTTTTTAAAAAAAAATTTTATTTTTTATTTTTTATTTTTTATTTTAATTAATCTTTATTGTTCATATTATTACAAAGGTTCCTCATTTCTTCCCCCCTCCACCAGGTTCCCACCCCACCCTCCGACCCCTCCCCATCCCCCACTGTCCTCATCCATAGGTACAGTTTCATATGCACTTTTATATATATACACGCACAGTGAGAGAAAATAACAGAAGTAGTGGTCTAAAAAAAAATAACACCATTTGGGGGACGGGGAAACAACTGATAATTCAGGCACCTTTTACAAATAAGCAGCCCATGTTAGATTTGAAAATACGTTTGGTCTGCACAGTATTTAATCTTTCTTAAAAATTAGTAGCCAAGCTGAAGCCAGTTTGGCTCAGTGGTAGAGCGTCGGTCTGCGGACTGAAAGGTCCCAGGTTCAATTCCGGTCAAGGGCATATACACTGGTTGTGGGCACATCCCAGGTAGGGGGTGTGCAAGAGGCAGCCAGTCGATGTTTTTCTCTCATTGATATTTCTAGCTCTCTATCTCTCTCCCTTCCTCTCTGTAAAAAAATCAATAAAATATATATTTTTTAAAAACTAGTAGCCAAGCCCTCGCCAGTTTGGCTCAGTGGAAAGCATCGACCTGAGGACTAAAGGATCCCAGGTTCGATTCCATTCAAGGGCACATGTCCAGGTTGCAAGGTCGATCCCCAGTGGGAAGAGTGCAAGAAGCAGCCAATCAATGATTCTCTCTCATTGATGTTTCTATCTCTCCCTCTTCCTTCCTCTCTAAAATTAGTAACAATATATTTTAAAAAAATTAATAGCCAACATTTAATAATTCAGAGATATCACATAAACATTCAGATTTTTAGCTCCTAATGATAATCTCTCTCTCCCCCTCCCTCCCTCAATCTTTTTAAAAAATTTTATTAAATTATTATCTGTGTACATATTTTAACATTGCTCCCCCCTCCCATACATACCCTCCCTCCCCAGAGTTTTGTGTCCATTGGTTGTACTTATATGCATGTATACAAGTCCTTCGGTTGATCCCTCCCTCAATCTTTAAAGAAAAGTGCATTGCTAGAGAAATCTCTTAATCTCTTTTAACTTATTAAAGGTTCTTAGAACCAACTTATGGCTGACAGCAGAAGTCAGGGAAGCACTGCTAAATATTTCAAATCCAAAGAAACACTGTATTTGTACTTTCTGATGAAGGATCTAAGGTGCCTGGGACCTTAGTGGTCATTGTATAAATGAGGAAACTGAGGCCTAGAGAGGGTGGGTTGTTCAAGGTGTGAGAGCTGGTTAATGAAGAAGTCTTGATGTGCACTTTGAGCCCTTATGTAGAGTTTAGTACTTTCTGCACTGTAATAAGACACTTCCCATGTTCATTTTATGTAGTTTCACAACAAATGCTAGCCATCTAAATGCTTCTGTTGGTAATCTCCATCTATACTAATAAAAGGATACTATGCTGCCAAAGCTGGTTTGGCTCAGTGGTAGAGCGTCGGTCTGCGGACTGAAAGGTCCCAGGTTCGATTCTGGTCAAGGCATGTATATTGGTTGTGGGCACATCCCGGTGGGGGGTGTGCAAGAGGCAGCTGGTCGATGTTTCTCGCTCTCTATCTCTCTCCCTTCCTCTCTGTAAAAAAAAAAAAAAATAAATAATATATATATATATATATATATATATATATATATATATATATATATATATTTTTTTTTTTTTTTTAAAGGATACTATGCTAATTAGACCAAAAGACCTTCTGGATGTCCTTCCGGACAAAGTCATGGTGGTGGGGCCGAGGCAAAGGCAGTTAGAGGGGAGCAGGCTGGTGGGGGGGGGAGTAGTTAGGGGGGCAATTGGGGGTGAGCAGGCCAGCAGGGGATGGAGGGGGATGGAGGGGAGAGGGGCCGCTGGGGATAATCAGGCCGGCAGGTACAGTGGTTAGGGGCCATCAGGCAGATGAGGAGTTAGGAGTCAGTGGTCCCATATTACAAGTTGGACATCCCCTGAGGGGTCCCAGATTGGAGAGGGTGCAGGCCAGGCTGAGGGACAAATTTTATGCACTGGGCCACCAGTCTTTAATAAGAGGCACAGGGTTTCAGGAAAACTGGCATTTGTGTTCATAATCACCTATGTTGGGCTATTACACTTGACCTTAGCCAAAAGGCCAAGCACTGATAATGATGGGCTATTACTTCAATCATTTGCATAATCTGCCTGGCCTGGGGTCTTCAGTTTTTGGCTTCTGGCCAGATTCTTTCTGTATGAATTGCCTCTCAATTTGTTCCATGACTCAGTTTCATGGTGTGGAGCCCTCAATGATTTCTGTCATCAGCCTTAAGTTGATCTAAGGACCTTCAATAAGTTAAAAGACATTAGGAGATTTCTCTTGCAATGAACTTATTTTTTTTTCTTTTTTAAGAGAAAGGAAGGGCAGGAAACAGGGGGTGAGGAAGAGAGAAGAGAAAAGAAGAGAAGAAATAAAATATCAGTGTGATAGAGAAACACTGATCAGTTGCCTCCTGTACATGCCCAGAATGGAGATTGAATCCAAACCTAGGTATGTTCCCTGACTAGGAATCAAACCCACAACCTTTTTGTGTATGGGACAACACTCCAACCAACTGAGCCACCCAGCCAGGGCACAATGCACTTCTCACCTCAAATGAGGTGTTTATCTGACAATCTGACCTAGCACTGGCTGAGAACAATTAGACATTTTCTCAGTGGAACCCCATATGAGGAGAATTACTAAATTAGTCTCTTCTTCAGAGATGCATGAAATAACAGAATGGCCAATTTTCACCCCAAAGAATCTGGATGGACAGTATTGTCCATCTTTGAAACTCATATCCAGTTATCTGAGTAATGAGACTGTTTAAACTGGAAAAACAATTAAGCCACACAGTAGCAGATATCCATCTATAAATTTGTGATGTGCCTGTGTATACATCACAGAATTTCAATCATGTAAACATGCATACTAAGAAATACTGTCTCCCTGGCCGGTTTGACTCTGTGGATAGAGTGTCAGCCTACAGACTGAAGGATCCCAGGTTCAATTCTGTCAAGAGCACATGCCTGGATTGCGGACTTGATCCCCAGTGGGGGGCGTGCTGGAGGCAGCCAATCAATGATTCTCTCTCATCATTGGTGTTTCTATCTTTCCCTCTTCCTTTCCTTTCTGAAATCAATAAATAATATATATTTATTTAAAAAAAGGAAATGATGCTTAGAGTGGGGGAAATTTGAGGTTCCATGTTCCTTTGATTTCAGTGTTTCCCAAGCTTTTTACGATAAGCATGTATTACTTGTTTCCTCACATGCTGTGTAATCAGGAACTCTTAGCTCATGAGGGGTTTTACCTAAGAGCATTCTGTCAGCCAAGGTCGAGAGCTGATAATTTACTTCTCTCAGCTGTCCTAGAGTTGCCATTGGTATTAGACCACTATAGGTGGTATAAAGCTATACGTTAACTTTTCAATTTGGACATTTCTAGGCAGGGCAGGAAGTATAAGTTCAAATCACCAACCAATGTGCGCAGAAGGCCATAGTTGGAATTCTCTGGAGACTTCCTTTTCCCATCTAGCCGCCCACGCCAAGAGACGCCTCTCTCTGCTCTTCCTGTGCTGGTGGCACTCGTGTTCTACGTCAGCTTTTATTGAGGCCCTCTGCCATGTGTGGGCACAAGGCTCTCTGTCTTCCCCACACAGTATCACTCCCTCCACCACTCCTTTCTGAAGACAGCGTCAACTAAAGCGTGCTTCCAGGGTCCACTTCGTTTCCTCTTTATTCTGACCCGTGAGAATGTCTTACCAACTATGCATTTAAAAGGATACCTGGCATATTGTAAGCAGCATTCTCACGTACTTTGTAGCAGAAGAGTTTTTAAGTCAGCTAGACTACCATACTATCAGAGACAGAAACTGCCTGCATTGCTTTTGTGAAGGAAAAGAAACAAGTTTTCATAATCAGTACGGACGGTTACCTGGGCAGCCTGAGAAGACGGTGAATGGTGGGACCACCGTTTCTGGAGGTAGTACTGTGTTGTCAAGAATTTTGCAGCAGTCTTTCAACACACACCGACGCCCCTAAAATTACAATATTATTAACAGGAAATAGATCAGGATATAAGGAAAAACATGGATGGCTATTTTATATTTTCTCATCTGTGATATCTTACAATAGCGAGGGATAGTGACAAGAGGCTTGGCTACAATTCTCCGCTTCAGATGGTACCTGACAAGCAGGAGGAGGTAGGAATATGCGTGCGAGTGTGCATGTGCGTGTGAGTGTGGCGGGGGTGCACATTTCAGGTGGAGGTTATATGCTGGGGACGTCCAGGTTATCTTAAGCATTACAGACTATATGACACTCACTCTTCTAAGGGTTCTGTTTAATTTTCTTCTCTTTATTTAATTTAGTGGACATATGTTTTGCTTGCTCAACATCAGTTCCCTTTTCCTCTGGTAACAGAACCTGTGTTTCTGTTGGGAACCAGCCCTATGCCCAGCTCAGCCCATGTGCTTCCATTTCCATCCCACTCTAAACGCCAAGCTGGCCACAGAGACTGTCTAAAGCAGCGGTTGCCAAATTTTTGGACCTCATGGACCACTGGTTGGCGATTACTGGTCTAGAGCCGTGGTCGGCAAACTGCGGGTCGCGAGCCACATGCGGCTCTTTGGCCCCTTGAGTGTGGCTTTTCCACAAAATACCACGGCCTGGGCGAGTCTATTTTGAAGAAGTGGCGTTAGAAGAAGTTTAAGTTTAAAACTTAATTTGGCTCTCCAAAGAAATTCCAATCGTTGTACTGTTGCTATTTGGCTCTGTTGACTAATGAGTTTGCCAACCACTGGCCTAGAGATTGGAATGTGAGCCAAAAACCAGTCTGATGAATCTCAAAATCAGGGATTCTTCCGGGACCACTGGGGGGAAAAGCTCTTCTCAACGAAGTTTCTAAAGGATGGGACAGAAACAGGAGCGCTATCTTGTTTCCATGAGGAAAGACCCTGCCTGAGATGCCTGTACAGAAAAGCAGAAAGGAAAAGGAGGCTGATTCTCACTTCTTCATTCGAAGCCCTAGAGCCACTTATGCAGGAAATTAGAATCCACTTCTACACTAATGACTTGTATTAGTCCATTCATCTGTTTGAAGGTGTAGACTGAGCCTTCTATCTGACTTTATCCACTGCCATCACCCACGGCATTCTGAGGGGAAGAGAGGACATCTGGAGAGCCATCTGTACCATGGGTTAAGGGTAAGGAAAGGCCTGAAAACAGTTCAGAGGTGCGCCTCAGGCTACTTGCACCAACTACATTTACATCACCAGTTTCACTGTGTGAATTACCAAAGAATTTTACCAAAGAATATGAAAGATACTTTCATTTGATTGTGACCAAAATTTCCCCATTATTAAATACTCAACTATACCCAAATCGGATGCATTTCCAGGAATTAAAAGACAGATTAATAGATTGCCAGATGAATTTTTTTTTTTTTTTTTTTTTTTTTTTTTTACCTCTAAAGCACTTATATTTCTAAGGTCCGATTTCTTAAGTGTCTACTAAGTTTTCTCTAGCTGGGTGGACAATAGCTTGGCAATACTTGGCAACAACTTTAGCTCAGAAGCAAGTCATTCCTGCAGCTATTCATCCTCCTTGCGAAGTTCTCTTCCATGAATTCCCTGATATTGGCAATTTCAAAAATCCAGCTGGTGACCAGCTTCCTCATAATTTCCAAATGACTCAAAGATGGTATCTTAGCTCCTAATAACTCAGACTAAGCACATGGAGTCCTGAATGACAGGAAAGAGAATGTGCTATGTAAGGCACAATACATTCACATACAGAGATGTGTGCACAGTGGGCCCTGACAAAGAGGAACAAGGGCCCTGGCTGGTTAGGCTCAGTGGATAAAGTATGGGCCTGCTGCAGACTAAAGGGTTCCAGGTTCGGTTATGATCAAGGGCACATGTGTGGGTGTGGGCTTGACCCCCAGTAAGGGGCATGTTTTTATCTCTCCCCCTCTCTTCCTCTCTGAAATCAATAATATTTATATATATGCCTACTCAGAGAATGATGTTCATTTTAGTTTCAGAGCTTTCTGGGCAAAGAGATCAATTAGATATCAGTAAAATAAAAAAAATGTAGTTACTTCTTAGGCATAATGAATTGGTAATAGTAGAGAAAGTTAACAGCTAAAACTACTTCTTTTTCTTTCCTGAAGGGAGTCAAGAAGTGCATGTTGCTAGCATTAAGCTACCTATCTCTCCTGATGCAAGTTATTCATCATTTCTGAGCCCTAGTGTCATCTGTGAAACAGGACATAAAACCAACCTGCAGGGATGCTGTCAGGATCAGAGTGGTAAATGGGTAACTCATAGCACAACAGCGCCTATTAATATTGCCTGTTGGACTTTTCCCACTGGCAACTGGGCAATTCTGATTAATACCTAAAACTTCACATATTCAAACAGTCAAGTCTACCACGTGGATGTATAGGGAGGACCGTGTGTCATGAGGCACGCCAGACTCTTTGAAAAGATACTTACATTACTTGAGAATCTATAAGGTTCAGCAAATGAGGACAGAACTACCACTACTGAACAATGACTATGACATGACAATCAACTGATACATTGAAAAGTGACCCAAGAAGCAGAGCACCTGACAATGGGACTAGACTTTCCCGGGCCTGGGAATAGCATCTGGCTATGACCTTTCAAATGTCTGCTGCAGGGCTAAAGGACAGGGCTGAAGGACTAAGCTGCTACGCTGAGGTCTTCTTGGCCACAGAACATACCAGAAAAACCCAGCTGAGGCTTGGAAAGCCAGCTTGTCAATGGGATGAGGGACAGGCTGGATTCCACTATCTCCCCCCTTCCTTCCACAGCAGGCCAAGACAAAGGCTTTCTGCCTCTAACACTAAGCACTCTGGAGGAGCATACCTGGCAAAACAACCTCCTCCCTTGATTCTGAGTAACAAGTCAGGTTGGAATGTTCCTCACAGCAATGTGTTCTGCCCTGCACGGTGCCTGTGGCTCCTGGGACGTTAGCTGCACAGCTGCTACGAGTTTTCTGATACTCCAGCATCAGAGTCTCATCCAGAGCAGAGAGCCAGCTCTGTGTTATTAGGAGCAGCCATGAAAAAAATATTGGCTTTTCCTAGAATATGGTCTGAAGTACAAATTTAAAGTGAAGGAAACATTTTCCCTAAACAGAGTTTGGCTCTGATCATTAACATTCTTATAAATCCTGCCTGAAATCAAGCTCCTCATCTGTGAAATGCCAAGAAGCCCAGCCTTGTGAAGCCTGAATGGACCAAACCAACTGACGCCAAGTCTCCTGGGACCAGATCCTCCAGGTTCTGCTGAGCAAGGTGCCTCCATGCACCCTGCATGCCCATCACCCTCAGCTCCCTGCAGTTCCCCTGAAGGCATGTCCTATGGTGACTCTGAGCCTTCCTCATGCCAGCCTCTTAACCGAAATGCCCATCCTCCCCTCGGATATGAGTCAGTTTTACCTCACCTTTCACTCACCCCTCACCCCACCAGACAGTAAGCTCCCTGAGGTAAGGCAACAGGTAGGACATATAATAGCATGACCATTCATACTACCTGGATTCAAATCCCAGCTCTACTTAATAGCCTCATCACTCCTATAGTATTTAAGATCTTCAGTCTTTGCATCTGCAAACAGGAACAACAACAGCAACTACAACCCTCTTGGATGACTGTGAGGAGTAAGTGAAAAAATTAAAGGAAAGTGTTTAGCATCACAGGGAAAAGGTTCAATAAAGATCAGCCATGATCATGAATAACTAGGAAAAAGCTCCAAATGAAATAATAATGCCAGCGGACCAGAAGCAACTTCTGCCATGTCTGATCACAGAAGCAGAGGCCCACTGAGGGGAGGGGCAGGAGCTAGAGGACAGTGAGGCTGCTTAGTTACCAAGTCACCGTACTCACAATTACACAATTCTTGCCAACATGAACGTAAGAGCCAATCTGAGCTGCGTTGACCACACAATCTTCCTCAATAAAAACATGGTCCCCAATATGTAAAGGGAAGAATGCAACCCTATAGAAAAAAAAGACAAACAAAGGTCAAGGTGATGTATTTCTGGTCAAGGCTTATAAAATATAGATCCTAATCTCAAGTTCATCATATTGTCTTATTAAAACTGTTCCTAGCAAGGAAGGAATCTCCAGACTAGAGAAATTCTATAATTTCCCCAGTATTTTGTCAGAGATGGCAAATTTATATTTCAAACTTTATATCATTATACTCTATAAATTTTCCCACTAGTCCAATATCAGAAATATTAGCAAGGAAACAGCAAGGCAGAAGGGGCAAGATATTCTAAGCTAAAGGCACTGGCACCAAATAAAAATGAGTGCCTGTGCGCTCTCATTCCTGCTTCCTTTGAAAATGCTCACAGGCCAGGACCAGTTTGGTTCAGTGGATAGAGCGTTGGCCTGCGGACTGAAAGGTCCTGGGTTCGATTTCGGTCAAGGGCATGTACCTTGTTTGCGGGCACATCCCCAGTAGGGGGTGTGCAAGAGGCAGCTGATCGATGATTCTCTCTCATCGATGTTTCTAACTCTCTGTCCCTCTCAATTCCTCTATGTGTAAAATCAATAAAATATATTTTTTTAAAAAAAAGAAAATGCTCACAGATCACATTTTTAATAATCCTATATAATAAAGAGCTAATATGCTAATCAGTCCGAACAGTCGAATGACCTTCCAGACATTCTTCCCGATGAAGTTGGGTCTGCGAGGGCCAGCCATGGCTGTGAGGAGCTGTGAGGGGTGAGCACCTTGCATGAATTTCATGCATCGGTCCTCTAGTCAGCTCTATAATATGCCAGGGGCTGACATCAAGTTTGTGGGATATAAATGCTAGCACCCAACAATCTGAAAATGGATATATTCCTTCATTTTGCTGAGTACCTACTATATATCAGACTCTATGCTAGGAATTGGGGATATAATAGCAAAGATAAACAATGCAACCCTGCCCACAAGGCGCTTACAATAAAGAGAACAAAATTAAATAAGTGATTAGATAGCAAGTAGTTAGTTAGTTAGAACTGAGGAAATGCTACAGAGGAAAACTACTATGTCATGTGAGAATATAACAAGGAATGGAGGTTTGGTAAAAGCTTAATTGAAAGTGACATATATAAACCAGGACTTGGACAGGATTAGGTGTCAGTAGGCTTTCTGAGAGCTTCTAACATTGCTCTCATTCTCCCAGTTTCCTAAAGTGTCATGGTCAGTGGTTTTGTGATCATATTTACAAGTAATTTCAGTAACTTAGGATGGAAAACATTTGGACTGGAACGAACATAAAGTAGGTGGATGCTCCTTGCCTCTTTCCAGCCCTGGGTTCTATCTGTCAGAATTATTTTGTCAGAGATGGAAAATTTACACACACACACACACACACACACACACACACACACATAGACACATACTGAGTGTCCAGATTATTATGATCTCTGAACACAGTGTAGACTGACCACAGAGTTGGGATTTTAAAATAAGTTTTTCCATGTATAAGAACTGCATAATGGGTAGTTAGAAAGAAGCAGAGGACTTACTAGCTAAAGGCTAGGAGCCACTATCTCCTGGTCCCTTGACATTTCAAGATTTGCAAGCTTTCCCTTATACATAAGTACAGTGAGTGGCCAGATTATTATGCGTTCAGAGATCATAATCATCTGGGCCACTCAGTGTGTGTGTGTGTGTGTGTGTGTGTGTGTGTGTATGTATTTATATTTATATTTAGAAAACTATGTCAAATGTAAATACTCTTACAATATGCTAGACTCTATTCGAGGAGTTAGGGATACAATGGCAAGGATAAGCAATGCAATGTTCATTCTCGATGCTTTTCTTGGGCCATACCTAGCCCAATAATGCTTTCAGCAGAAAGTGGAGTCAACACCTCTAGCAGAGTATCGGTCACTACACAAAATCACAAAAGGGAATCTACCACAAGGTTTTCTGTTTTCCCCCAATAGCCTTCTGAGCTAATGAGTGAATAATTTCTTGTGAATGCTTTAGCATGACTCCCTACTCCAATCCCCATACATCATTAGGCGAGATGCAGGATTATCCCTGGTAAAAGCATGATTCACTCCTAGCTATTAAAGTTAGTCTGAGTTAGCTGCTCTCTTCTCCATCCCCACTTTACCTTATTCAGATCCATGTGACAGGACTATCACATTACATAGTGGTGATCACATTATACAGTAGCTATGTGTTTATGTAAATACTGGTGTCCTTGTGCACAGATTCATACACATTGAGAGGAAATTAATTAGAAGAAATGTTTTAATATTGCTATTCACCCTTACTCTATAAATACCAACACAAAGCAGATTATTATTATAAATCACACAGGAAGAACAAATGATAAAATATTTAACCATAGCAGTGTATTACTATATTCTGTGGAGTGAGAAAACCTGAATGCATTTTCAAGTTCTACCATTTCTTACTTCTTTTCAATCGGGTCAAGTTTCTAAACTTCCTAAATCTCCATTTTCCAGCTAATGAAAATAGGATTTTACTGAGTCTCCTATCTACCTACTCCAGGACTTCTGTGAGGATCAAATGAGATGAGGCACAGGAAAATGCTTCACAGACATCTGGTTAAAGTGTAAAATGTTTGCACCTGGCTATAAAGCAAGTCATGTTCCTGGGCTGAAGAAATTCCAAGGAGGCTAGCTGCTAGGGAAAGGAAGCCATATGATGTCATTACCCGGTGCCCACAGCAACTGTTTCCAGGCTGGACTGGGCTGTGAGCCACATTTTGTGCCATGGGGTCTTGACATTGTTGGCTGCGATTTGGTGGGGTATTGCTCCCAGGTGGTGGCAGGGCCTGTGTCCCACTTGGGGAAGCCAAGTGTTGGTTTGTCAGCAACAGGTTAATGGTGCCGTGTATTTTTAAGTGGCCAATGCACCTCATGGCAGCTTCTGTATATGCCCCCTGGTGGTCAGTGCGCATCATAGCTACTGGCTGGACGAATGGATACTTAGTGTTTTATATATATAGATTTCTACCACTAGGTTTGAAGAAGCTTGAGGTAGGCCCTGGCCAGGTAGCTTAGTTGGTTAGAGCATCATCCTGATATGCCAAGATTATGGGTTCAATCCCTAGTCAGGGCATATACAAGAATCAACCAATGAATGCATAACTACTGGAACAAATCATTGTTACTCTCTCTTCACCTCTCTCTCTAAACACACACACACACACACACACACACACACACACACACACACGCACACAACCTTGAGGCAGGATATGCTATTTTATCCATCTTTATATGCCCTGCTTATAACCTAGCGAATGGCATAAGGGAGTATTCAATAAATGCTTGTTGAATTACTGAATGGAATGGAGATGGTGTCACATGTAGGAACCAGGAGAGTAAATTAGCTAAGGAGAAGGGAAACAAAGAAAATACCACCATGTAGGTAGAGTGGCCAGTTTTCCTGCTCTGCCCATGGCCTTTCTTGGACACTCCTTATTCCCACTGTGAGGTCAGTGGGCATGACTTGACCTGCCCTCGGGTCACAGCTATTAGACCAGAGGTGAACACTTAACTCATGCTGAGCCAATCAATTCCCTCGCCCATGAATTTTAAATAAGACCTAAGATCTCCAGTTGGTATCTGCTGGAAGTCTAAAAGGAGAAATGATATAAATAAGGGGCTGCAGTAGCAAGGTCAGCTCCAGTAGGAGAGGGGAAAGACAATTCGAGAAAGAGGAGAGGGAAACAGAAGTGCAGAGAGGACAGATAAATACAAAGTATCATTTTGGAGACAGAGATACTAGATACACAGAATAGTTGTCTTGATTCTGGCAAGATGACTACTTTGGGGCTCTAGCTCCTCAAAAGGCTTGGCCTCTTTTTCTACCCTGAGGTTCCATCAAATATGCCTGTGTCTGTTTAATAAGAACCCTCTTTGCTTTTGCCAGCTTACGTGGATTCTGTTTCTGACAACCAACCATCAATCAGATAGGACGACCACCACCAGAATTCTTACTCAGCATCTCCAACAACAGCATAGACCCATTCCTTGCACCACAATCAACACAGGAGAACACCACCATTAGCTGCTGCTACATACCCTTTCAGTTACATACCCTTTGCTGAATTTCTTGAACGGTGGCCTTATGACACTCCGACTTTTCACAACACAATGACGTCCAACTCTTACATTTGCCAGATCTCCTCGGATAATACAGTCATTCATCACAATGGTCTATAAAACAAAGCACACTTAAAAATTATCAAATAGATGAAAACATAACAAAGAAAGGGCAGGTAACAAGACTCTGACTGAGAATTGTGGTATGAGTTATTGCAAGCATATCAAACTCACGGAACACACCACATTTAAATAATGAATTTGGCCATGAGTTTGACGCTACTGAGTCTAATGTTCTACCTAAAGGTATAACTTGTCAGATGAAGGCCTTGTATGGAGTCGAAACCGGTTTGGCTCAGTGGTTAGAGCGTCGGCCTGCAGACTGAAAGGTCCCAGGTTTGATTCCGGTCAAGGGCATGTACCTTGGTTGTGGGCACATCCCCAGTAGGAGTTGTGCAAGAGGCAGCTGATCAATGATTCTCTCTCATCGATGTTTCTAACTCTCTATCCCCCCCCCCTTTTTTTTTTTAAAGACCTTGTATAGAGCCTGATTTGAACAAACCAACTGCAAAAAAATATCTTGAAATACTGGAAAGACTAAATGTGGACTGAAAATTAGATGATATCAGGGAATTACTAATTTTTTTAAAACTTGTAAGAGAATTGCCCTCATAACACTGACTGCATAGTTTACTATTAAAGTCCCGTCTCCGTAGCCTTTCTGAGCCATGGACAGTGACTTTTATCCACATTATTATATGTATGCATTACAAGGGTAAGTTCAGCCCAGTGCGAAACTGAGATATGCCAACAACAGCAATTACAAAAATGTCATGATCAGCCGAAGCCGGTTTGGCTCAGTGGATAGAGTGTCGATCTGCCGACTGAAAGGTACCAGGTTCGATTCTGGCCAAGGGCGTGTACATTGGTTGCGGGCACATCCCCGGTAGGGGGTGTGCAAGAGGCAGCTGTTCGATGTTTCTCTCTCATTGACGTTTCTAGCTCTCTATCTCTCTCCCTTCCTCTCTGTAAAAATCAATAAAATATATTTAAAAAATCTGATGAGCAGAATAAATTGGTGAATATAATAAAATCAGGGGCATAGAAAGGAAGTGGACTGATAATTCTCAGGGAGAAAGGGGTACGGAGAGTACAGGAAAAGACTGGACAAAAAAATGTACACCTATGGATGAGGACAGTGGGGGGAAGGTAAGGGCAGAGGGTGAGGTGGGAACCAGGTGTAGGGGAGCAAGAGGGGGATAAAGGAAAACTATTGTAATAATCTAAACAATAAAGATTTAATTAAATTTTAAAATAAATAAATAAATAATAAAAGAATTACCACATGACCCAGCAATCTGATTCCTATATATATATATATATATATATATATATAAAACTGAGAACAGCTATTGAGGATTGTGCCCTGACTGGAAATGGAACTGTAACTTCCTGGTCATAAGTCGATGCTCAATCATTGAGCTATGGGGGCTGAGCACAGAAAATGTTTTATAATTAGCTGATGAATTTCCAAATGAGGCAGATGAAGTTAATGGAATTTCCTATTTCTGTGATAAACAGTGTATCTATAATTACTAATTATATCTATTTACTGAACTATTTTCCTTTCCATTAAATCTCAAATGGATATTATGGGCTAATGGAAATAGAAATTGTATCTTTACTGAAAATATTTGTGACCTCTTGATTACAGTTAGACTATTTTCCCTCTGGAGATTAGAGGTTTAACATTTCAAGGAAATTTTAGTATTCCAGATGGCAGGAGACAGACTTCAATGTTTATTAGTCTCAAATATATCTTGATATTTTCTATGGTTCTAAAATGTTCTAATATTACTTTCAAGTTTATTTTTAAATTTTTAAAACTCTATCCCGAAGATATTTTTCCATTGATTTTTAGAGGGAGTAGAAGACAGAGGGAAAGACAGGGCCCCGGTCAGGGAGGAAGCCTGTAACCAAGGTATGTGCCCTGATCAAAATTGAACCCAGGACCCTTCCACTGAGCCAAATTGGCTAGAGCTATCTTCAAGTTTATATTTACCTCTCTGCTATTTTGATTTATTCAGACTAAAGATTTTGAACTTTTCATATTCCATTTTGCAAACTGGTCTCAAATTGTATACTCTTTACAAATTCTCACATTAAGTCTAAGTGTTTCAGTTAGTACTGATTCAATAATTATTATCAAACAGATAAATATGTAAGTATTACTTTAGTTTCTACACTAAACATTTTGTTACATATTTATGGTTTGTGTCCAGTATTTCAATATTGGATAATAATTTCAGTTGTGGGTGCCATTGTATTATGTTTCTGGCATAAAAGGCAAAAGGCTTTCTGTTGCTTCCTTTTATTGAACCCCTTTTGTATTTAATAAATTCAATCTGGAAAATTGAAAAAGAGAATCTCTCTCTATATATATAAAAGCCTAAGGAACCAGAACGACCAGTCCCTAGAATGTGCACTGATCACCAGGGGGCAGTCGCTCAAAGTAGGAGCTGACCCCTGGTGGTCAGGGCACTCCCAAAGCCAACCTCCCCTGATGGCCAACCTCCCGTGCCCTGATTGGCCCACTGCCCATCCACCGTGGTGGTACAGAGGCAAGAGAAAGAGGGTGGAGGCAGGGAACCACATGGCAGCGGGCCACCGACCATCGCGGCATCAGTGTCCAGCATCCATTTCTTCCATGTCCAGCCTGATGGCCATCACCTCCTCTCCAGCTGGGCCCCAATTGGTCTAGCCCCAATTGGCCCTGATGGCTGGCCAGACCTAAGAACCCCACCTGTGCATGAATTCCATGCACTGGGCCTCTGGTTTTTAGATATACAGCAATAAATGGGAGATGTGGCAACATTTTATATGCCCTGCTGAAGTAATAATTTGTGAAAAGAAAGCGAAGGTACGCATCCAGGAGGTGGCTTTGTCCCTTACCTTGCCATTGAGAACGATGTTCTGACTTCCGCACAACACTGACTGGCGACTAACTTTGTTCCCAGATGCCTGAAAGGAAACAGCAGGACATGAGAGGGTGCAAGCTGAGTGGGTTTTGAGCTATAGGTTTTCATCAAGAAAGAAAGACTTGAATATAGGGTGTAGTCTACAAAGGAATGAGTGCAATTTTTTAATAAAGCAAGGGTGGATTAGGAAACTATAGAGATTCAAGGAATAGATCCAGAATTTCGATGTGGCATGTCTGTCTATAGCCTAGTGGCATCAGAGATGTGGATTCAAGTTCCAATTCTATACCCCAATTTTAAAGCTCTAGCCCCAGGTTAACGGCTTCACCAGTATCACATAGTTGTGAGAATTCAATGAAAAGCAAAATTATAGTAGTAACGTTGATTGAGCAATTTACACATATCATATATTGACATCATATATGTGCTAAAGAACCAGTTTTTGGAACATAGTAATCAATTATGACAGGTTCGTTTTTAAAAGCCCGAAGTCTGGAGCTGTAATTATATTAGGATGGACGAGACTTGTCCTGCTTTCTAGAAAGCACTTTATCTCTACGAGGAAATCGGGATTCAATGAAAACGCCTAAACTGGCCATTTAAGGAATAAATAAGGCCAGACCTATACACGCCCACACAGCCCAGGGACGCGGGTGGGGCAGGGACAAGATGGGGCACAGGCCCCAAAGGGACCCAGGCCTGGAAAGGGAAACGCCGATGCGTGGCCACCGCGCACCGTCTCGATGTACTCAGACTTGTTGTAGAGCAGCTCGCCCAACTCCATGGCCACCAGTTCCTCCCAGCAGCTCGGGCTGCAGTCAAAGCCTGTCAGCCGCTCGGTCCGCCGGGGCGCCGGAACTTCCGGCGAGCGCTGCACTTCCGCTCCCAGGCTGCCTCGGGCCTCATTCCCAGCTCCGCCCCCGCGAGGCGGCCCCGCCCCGCCCCAGCAGTCCCGGCTGCGCGTGCGCACCCAGCGCGGGCCGCCATTGGCCGGGCGGAGGGCGCGCGGGAGCTCGCCGGTCGCGCGCTGCGGTGCCCCGGGCGCCCCATTCCTTCCCGGGTGCTGGCGGGGTTCGGCCCGCGGGAATCCGGAGTCCGCATTCCGGGGCCGGCGACGGCTGCTCTTCCCGTCCGTCCGCCGGCCCGATGGAAGAACCTTCTGGGAAGCCCCTCAGTTTTGAGGAGAAGGAAAAGGTGCGGGGGCGCGGGAAGGGCTGGCTCCAACTCTGACCCCTTCGCCAGGATGGTGGGTCGGTCCGCGCCGCGCAGACCTGGGTCTGCGCTCCTTGGACTCGCGCTGCCCGGGGAGAGGAGGTGTGGGAGAGGCCGTACTCGCCTGGTGGCATCCAAACACACTTTTTTTTTCCTTGCAGCTCTAACATAAATACAAAATGTAAAACTAGACAAAGCTCTGCCAAGACCGGTTTGGCTCAATTGATAGAGCGTCGGCTTGGGGACTGAAAGGTCCCGGGTTCGATTCCGGCCAAGGGCATGTACCTTGGTTGCGGGCACATCCCCAGTAGTGGATGTGCAAGAGGCAGCTGGTCGATGTCTATCTCTCATCGATGTTTCTAACTCTCTATCTCTCTCCCTTCCTCTCTGTACAAAATCAATAAGATATATATTTTTTTAAAAAATAGACAAAGCTCAAGTCCCCATCCACACCCTCCCGCTGCCCCCACACTCTCAGCCACCCCGGCCTCAGGCTGGCGGAGGCGCCCTTGTCTCTCACCACCAAAAACGGTGCGTAGTTTTTGAAAAGGAGAAAGTTCATACACGGTACAATCAGGATGGCATTGCAGCTTCCGTTTTCCTTCTCCATGATTGGCATCCATGTTAGTACATGTTTATCCACCCAATTCTCCAGGTTCGGAGTAGAATTCTGTAGTGTGGAAGTGCCATCTTTAGCTGTTACTCTGCGGAGGGACTTAGGTGGCTCCTGCTTTGCTTCTACAACAGTAACAGTGTTGCTCCAGCCATCTGTACTGTGCCAGCTTGTGTTTATGCTGATATTAGCTAGAATGTATCTTGTGCTGGCTGTTCAAGCTTTGTGCTACACTCTTCATTCACGTTAACTTGTCAGTCCTCTTACCACGACCTATTTTTTCTTTTCTCTTTTTAATATCAGAGAAAGGAAGGAGAGAGAGAGAGAGAGAGAGACAGACAATGATCAGTTGCCTCCCACAGGCACCCAGCGATGGAATCTGCCGTGACAGGGAATTGAACCCATCACCTTTTGGGGTATGATGACGCCCCAACCAACTGAGCCACACCAGCCAGGGCCCTGCCTACTTTCCAGTGGGGGTGAGAATCGCATTTACAAGTCAAGATAATTCCCAGATAATTGATAAGCCTGGTGACTGATAGGACGTTGAAAGAAGCAGTCTGGCATAGATTTAAGAGCACAAACTAGAGCTGGACTGCATGGGTTTGAATTACATACTGTTTATAAACCATGTGATCTTAGACAAACTGCTGTCCCTCTCATCTTCCCTTGCCAGCTCCTTCCTCCTCAGGTCTAGGGTCAAATAGTGGTCCTTCGAAATGATCCCTGGCCACCCTATCTAAAGCAGTCCATTTCCGCAACTCAGGAGCTCCCTGTTTGCCTAGATATTGATTACCATGTGAAATCATGTTTATTTGTTTTCTGCTTATTGTCTGCATCATTCACTATAAGCTTGGCCACACTGTATGTCTAGCACCTGGAACAACAGCTGATGCCTTAGGAACTGATGCAGCTATTGTCCCCAGGTGGGAGAGATACCTGGACCAATAAATTGACAAATAAGAGATTCCATTCTCCAAGTGAATATCTGAGGGTGACAGTTCTTTATTGTTAATTCTCACCTTAGGATATTTTTTCCATTGATTTTTAGAGCAAATGGAAGGGAGGGGGAGAAACAGAAACATGGATGTGAGAGAGACACATTAAATGGGTGCCTCCTGCCCACGCCCCAGATGGGGCTGGGGATCAGGCCTGCAACTGAGAGGTACGTGCCCTTGATCGGAATTGAGCCTGAGACCCTTCAATCCAAGGGCCAAAGCTCTATCCACTGAGCCAAATGGGCCAGGGCAAGTGTGACAGATCTCGCTACTTTGGAGGATCTCTCAGTGAGAATGAGGTCTGGGGGAACAGAGAGGTAAGCAGATAACAGAGTAATAAATACCATGATAAAGGAAGCACAGAGGAGAAGTGTTCCGTCTACCTGGATTGAAAAAGAGCCTAGAAGTCTGTTCCAGGGAAATAAAAATCTAAGCTGAGGCAAGCGGAATCGGTAGGAATCAGCAAAGTGAGTTGGGGAGGAAATGCAGATGAGAGCAAGCAGCTGTGCAGAGGTCTGAGACAGTAGATGGCTGGTGCTTTGTGCGAAGTGAGAGTGAGGGCTAGTGCCCTCCACTGCCTCTGGCTGAGGGACCAGCTGAGCATGGCACACTCATGTCTAGTAGGCACTGTACCCCTCTCTTTCCACTGCTCAGAATTGTCTGGTGTTTTTCTTTCAGTTGAAGGAAAAATTAGCATTCTTAAAAAGAGAATATAGCAAGACTCTGGCCCGTCTTCAGGTAAGTGAATCTTATTCTCTTAAATTGAGGTGTTGTAGTACAAACTATGAACAATTCTTTATCATAATCAAGCGTTATAAAAAATAATTTGCCCTTAAATTTGTTCCTTGAGCTGCTTTTGCTTTCTCTAGCGGGCCCAAAGAGCTGAGAAGGTTAAGAATTTTATTAAGAAAACAGTGAAAGAACAAGATTATTTGCTCCAGCCAGAAGTTTCACCACAGCTAAACCACTCAGGTAAAGCTAACCACTCACTTAGGCTTGCTTTATTATTCACTTTCCTGGTGTATTTGCTGTGGTTCTTCTCCTCTTGAGGATGCAATGGACTCTTTAAAGTGCACAATTGAATGGTTCTTTCTGTATATTCACAAGAGCATGCAGACATTATCACTATTTCTAGAACATTTTCACCATTCCCAAAAAGAAACCCCTTACCCATCCCGCCCCTAACCCCTGGAGACCACAGATATACTTTCCGTCTCTGTGGATTAACCTTTTCTGGACAATTCGTGTAAGTGGAATCATATAACGTGTGGCCTTTTGGGACTGGCTTCTTTTACTTAGCATTATGTTTTCAGTGGCCATTCACCCCAACATACATACACCCAGGCTTGCATCATTACCCATCCCCCTTTGCAGCTGAATAACGTTCCATTGTATAGGTTAATCCTCACTAGAGGGCATTTTTTCCTCATTGACTTTTAGAGCGAGAAGGGAGGGGGGGAGGCAGAGAGAGAGAAATATTGATGTGAGAGAGACCTGCGCCTTGACTAGGGCCAGGGATCAAGCTCGGAACTGAGGTACATGCCCTTGACTGGAATAGAACCCATGACCCTTTAGTCTGTGAGCCAGTGCTCTAACCATTGAGCAAAACCAGCCAGGGCAAAGTAACATCATTTGCATATCCATTCATCGATTGATGGACATTAGGGTTGTATCTGCTTTTTGGCTAGTATGAATTTGGTTATTAAGCTACCATGAATATTCATATACAAACGTTTGTATAGATACTTGTTTCCAATTATTTTCTGTATATGCCTAGGCATGGAATTGCTGGGTCATATGGTAATTCCACATTTAACTTTTTTTTAAAATTGATTTTTACAGAAAGAAGTGTGGGTTTGTTGTTCCACTTATTTATGCATTCATTGATTGATTTATTGTATGTACCCTGACTCAGGATTCAACGTGCAATCTTGGCTTATCAGGACAATACTCTAACCAACTAAGCTAACCCAGCCACGGTTTTGTTTAACTTCCTGAGAAAATGCCAAACTTCCCTATAGCAGCTGCACCATTTTGTATCCCGCTACAATGTGTGTAAGGATTCCAATTTCTCCACATCCTCACCAGTACTTATAATTTGCCATTTTAAAATTACAGCCATCCTGGAGGATGTGAAGTGGTATCTCATTTTGGTTTTAATCTGCATTTCTCAGTGACTAATGATGTTGAGCATCTTTTCATGTATTTAGAGACCATTTGTTCTATCTTCTTTAGAGAAATGTCTATTCAAGTCCTGTGCCAATATTTTAGTTAGGTTATTTGTTTTTTAATTCTGGGGTTGTAAGGGTCCTCATATAGTAGCTATTTGACCCTTATTAGATGCATGACCTGTAAATACTTTCTCACATTCTATGAATAATAAACTGTGTTTTCAGTTGGATTGTTTATTTAATGCTCTTTTTCCCTTTCGCCTTTTAGTAATTACACTTAATGCTTAATTATTGGAAAGATTTTTTAAAATGTATTTTTATTGATTTCAGAGGGATAAAGAGAGAGAAACATCAATGACAAGAATCATTGATAGGCTGCCTCCTGCACACCCCACACTGGGAATTGAGCCCACAACCTGCACATATGCCCTGACTGGGAATCAAATCATGACTTCTTGGTTCATAGGTTGATGCTCAACCACTGAGCCATGACAGTAGGGCTGGAAAGATTTTAAAATTAAATTTCTGCATATGTACAGAGAAAAGCGTCTGGCTGGAAATACTCTAAAAAACAATGGTCATGCCCTAGCTGGTTTGGCTCAGTGACGAGAATGTCAACCTGCTGCCTGAAGGGTCCCAGGTTCCATTTCGGTCAAGGTTGCAGGCTTGCTCCCCAGTAGTGGGCAACCAGGAAGCAGCCGATCAATGATTCTCTTTCATCATTGATGCTTCTCTTTGTCCTTCTCCCTTCCTCTCTGAAATCAATAAATACATTAAAACAATGGTCATT